AGGGAGCCTGATGCGGGGCTCGATCCCAGGACCCTGGGATCATGACCTGAGCCGAAGGCAGATGCTTAACGACTGAGCCACCCAGGCGCCCCTCCAGGGGACTTTATCTATCAGCATCCTGCCAGCACCAGGGCTCTGGGCAGCAGCTTTTAAAGGAAAGGGTTTGGAGGAAGCTTAGTGGCCCTGGGCCCTGACCAGGCGCCGTGTGGAGGGAGGAAGGGGCCACCACGAAGTAAAAGAGCACCTCCCCCCACCCCACTCTGCCAAGAACCATTTTGCCAAAGTTTGGACCTGCCTCTTAGAAAAGAAGTGTGTAATCTGAATAGGCCACTGTTCCCACGACTGTTTTTTAAAAGGCAAAAAGCACAAATCATGGTCTAGTAGCCAAGAACAGACTCAGGCTTTCATGAAAGATGATGTAGCACAGAATCCTAATTGGACATTTCACTGTCCACCCATGCACCCCTGGGTCGTGCGGCCTCGGAGCCCCTACTGGGTGCCGGGCACTATGTTAGATCCTGCTGAACCTGATGGATGCTGCCTTGACCCTTACAATCTGGAAAGCAGAGAGATGCACGTTCAAATAGAATTATTAAAATCCCTGGGCGGGAATAAGAGCATCTACCTGGGAGTCAATGGAAGTCCAGCCCCAGAGCTCAGTGACTGGGTGCCTGAGTCAGGCTGAGTCACCTGGGAGCTTTGCTAGCCTGAACCCTCCCCAGACCAGGTGGGTGGCAGGAGACCTGCTCTGGGAAGGACTGGGAGGAGTCAAGGCTGGGTCCACTGGGGCTCACACAGAGGCAGTTTGTGAGTGGGCTGACCCAGCATCCTTGCATAGGACTGAGCAAGTGTAAGGTGACCTTCCCCCTGAAGAGCTTGTTTTCCAACTGGGGGCCATGTGGGTTGTGATCTCTTCCCCAACACAAGTGACTGTGTGCCCCATCTAAGTATCCATGCCTGAATGCTTGCTCTCAGGGCCTGCTGTGTGTCCTCCTTGCTTTTCAGGGGAGGCACTTTCCCCCTGATTCTGGGATCCCTCAGATGCCACGCCCAGCTGAGCTGTGAAGACCCGGACCAAGCACAATACAATACCATTTGTTACCTGTTCTACATGCTGATTCCGATCCACCTCTTACCCCATCCTCCACACACACACACACACACACACACACACACACACAGCCCAGCCAGCGACCCCTTCTCCTGTCTCTGACCTTGCTGAGCCCTTCGGATTTGCCCTACCTGATCAATTACACTCTCCCCAGGCCCAGAGCCCCAGCAACACCTTGCAGGGGCCTTGGCCCTGGGCCCTCCAGCCCATGCTGTCTGTCCTCCCACTCACCCTGAATTTGGCAGGAAGCACGAATACCAGTGCCAACGCAATATGACAAGGGGAACCAGAAATGAGGATTGAACATTTGGCAGCTACAACAAAAATTTAAACAAACAGAAGGTACCTTACTGAGTGTTGTCCTTCAGAACATTCTTCCGGGGGGTGATGCGCTTGATCCCGAGATGCTGTCCTGGGCCACACGGTTTCTGGAGTCATCCGTGGGAGTCCTGAGTCAGCTGATTCAGCAGCAACCAAGCCCTGCCACACACTGGAGTGAAAAATACAACACTCGAATCCCCCTGCAGTTTGGGAGACATGGACCCTGGAGGTGGGTTATTTTGTAAGAGCCTCGGCCGGGGTTGAGCCTCGGCACCCCCACTTCTGGTGCAGTGTCTGGCCCGTGCTCAAGAGACGTTTCCTATAGGTCTCGAGGATGGCATTGATCGTCCTGCATTTCTCCTGGTTAAAGACCCCATTTCCTCAGATGTGTTTTGTAAGTCTTTTGTAAGTCTTAAAAATGTTTCATTAAAGCAAATGCTTAAATACTGACGCAGCAGCCCTTCTTCAATCGGCAGTGGTTATAGTCCAAGTGGCTGGGATGCCTTTCTAAAACCCCAACATTCTCCCTTTAAAATGAATTGATAACACTTTGTTTCTGGATCAGCCCTGACTTGAGTTGGCAGCTCAACAAAACAGAACTCTTCATTAGCGCTTCTTCCACCCCAGCTCCCCCCACACCTACTCCTCCCCGACACTCCGTTTCTCTTCTCTGGAAGTGCCCCCACCCTCAAGTCCTGGCCCAAGTCCTCCCTTAGGACCCTTGAGTTCTTTTCTTCTCTCTCCCTCCACACTGGGAGGCCGCGTCTCCCTTCCCTCCCAAGCGTCTTTCCCTCAGTCCAGGTCCCCGGCCTCCTGGGAGGCCTTCTGTCCCCTGGGTCTAACACTTCTGCTCACCGCCGCCACCCAGACACCGCAGAGGGGTCTTAAATTTTTAACTTCTTACTTTGACATAAACTCGGACTAATAAAGAGGTTGCAAAATAGTATAAACAATTTCCTTAGAGCCCTTACCCAGACTCCCCAAATGCTAACGTTTTGCCACATTTGCTTTCTCCTTCCCTTTTGGCCCCAAGATATAATATACATATGCACATTATAGGTTTTTCTGAATGTCTGAGAGTAAACTGCAGACATGCAGTGCCCCTCACCCCTAATTACTTCAGTGTGTCTCCTAAGAACAAGGACATCCTCTTAACCCACCCTAGTTCAATGATCAAACTCAGGAAATTAACCTTGATGCAATATTATTATCTAATCTACATATTTTATTCAGATTTTACTACTTGTCACAATCATGTCCTTCAGATTTTTTTTTAAGAGAGAGAGAAAGAGCGAGTGGCAGGGAGGGGTAGAGGGAGAGAAAGAGAGTGTGCACATGGGGGTGGGGGAGGGGCAGAGGAGATTCTCTCCCTCTCCAGTAGGCTCCCCGCTGAGCGAGGACCCTGACACAGGGTTCGATGCCAGGACCCTGAGATCATGGCCTGAGCCAAAATCAAGAGTCAGACACTTAACCGATGGAGCCACCCAGGCGCCCCCCAAATCATGTCCTTTATAGTAAACGGAAATCCCAGATCCCATATGACAGTCTGTCCTCACGTCCCTTCAGTCTCCCTTAGTCTAGAGTTCAGAGGAATCTTCCTCAAATTATTTATATCAGCTTATGTTGGTTCTGCAACAAAAGCCCTCCACTGCCCTGCGGAATGAGACGGAGCCCAGTCTCTTGGGCACGGCCCACCTGGCCCTGCAGCCCAGCCCATCATCCCCAGTGCCTCCCTGTGACACTAGTTCCTGGTAGCAGCCTCACCGGCCTCCGTACCATGCCGGCCTCTCTGTCTCTGGTCTCTCAGTCTGGAACTACTCTGAGCTTGGGGATGGCTGCTCCATACTCCAGCCCCACCACCAGACCCGGCCCTGTGATCTCCTTCGCCTTTCATTGTCTGTTCCTTTGTTCATCCGTTTATCTTTTGTCCCTCACCCCCACTGAGGATAAGCCCATGGGGGCAGGGGGCTCAGCAGTCTGGTTCCGGCTGAGTCCTGAGCACTTGGAAAAAACTGGGCCTGGTACATAACGGATGTTCAATAAACATTTGGTGAATGAGGGATTTGGATTAAAGACAAGAAAATCTTTTCACCTATACTCACATGGGTTAGAGATTTTATAGAAAATGAATGATGAAGAAAGCTTTTGGAAATGTCAGCCAATGACCTAGGAAGCTTTGGTGACACGGCCCTCTTCTTCCAACGGTCCAGACGTCAAGATAATAGAATGGATTTACTTTTTAAGTGAATGTGCCAGATCGTCTACATCCAGGGCTTTCTGTGACAGACTTCTCAGCAGAAATAAGTGACACATAACGACATGAAGGTCATGGTTGAGTAACATGGGGAAGAGTTTCTGACCAAGCCACAGGCTGCCTGGAACCCACTCAAATAGCAAAGGGGGCTCCCCTTCCTGTTGGAAAGGCCTTGGGAGGTCCCGAACGACCTTGGAGGACCCCAGCCAGATCTCCAACCTCTCCTCAGGCCTCTGCAGAAAGAGCCCCCAGCCTGGGGCCCGCAGAGCGAGCAGACAGGTCAGGGGCGAGCCTGGGCCTCGGGCAGGCAGGACCGGACTGCTCGCGCTTACAACTGGACACGTTCTGCACCTTCACAAGGGAGTGGACTCCTCAGCTCTAGACACGTGTCTGTCAAGAGAGCTGTACACGTCGCTGTATGTACTTGTGCCCCCATAAAATTTTTTTCAAAAGAGAAAAGAAAATTGGGGCAGCTTCGGCTCTCTGAAAGAGCAGCAGCTTTTGGAGATGGCCTGCCTGAGTCCCCAGGGAGCCCAGTCCTGACTGCTACAATGCAGATTTCATTGGAGAAAGGGGTAGATGACCTGAACCCCAAACTCTGCCCTGGCCTGGAGCCCAGGGGTGTGCACCAGGATAAGACAAGCAAAAGGAACATTTGTACCCAGCCGGGGCTCTGGGCTCAGACACAGTGCAGAGTCCCAGGGCTGCCTGGGGGATGAGGCAGCATACGGAAGGCTGGGGAGGCTCTGGGTTCAGAGCACCCTCCTAGCTCAGGTCTGGGAAGAAAGGTTCAAGGGCTGGGTGAGAATGGAAGTGAGCACATTCTGTTCCTAACGGATGCACAACAGGCCCTCCCTGACTGACCTCACTCTACACTCCTAGGTGGGAGACCACGTTCACAGGGTCCATGACCCCTTTGCTCCATCACCCCAGACTGGGATGCCACCACTAACATGGCCTGACCTGTGGACAAATGCCTGGAGGCTGCCGTGCTGGAGTGAGTGGGGGCTGCAGGTGGACGGAAGGGACCACAGCTTCTGTCAGACTGAGGCCACACCTTATAGAGACACGGGCAGCAGTCAGGAGGCTCAGAAAATACCCAGAACTCTTGGGACAACCCACATGTCCACAGGAGGCCATCAGACGAGGTCACGGAGAGTTGCAGGATGGGGGCCTCTATGGGGTGTGCCACTGGTAAAGCTGAAATGCCCCGGGGCCAGAGATGCAAGTGAGCCCTGGGGCCCACAGCACCCACCCCCTCCTGTCCCTACAAGGTAGTTTGGACCAGGCCACAGAGAGTCACAAGTTCCCAGAATGCCTGGAACTGTTTTCTGAGGCAAGGCAGCCTCACGGGCATCCCATCTAAGGCAGACCCCGCCTGGTCTCAGCCTCCTGCTGAGACCCTCCCGGGACCTGAAAGGAGGAAGGGGAGAAGTCCTATGTGGTCTGGCAGAGTCACTGCTGTGGCGATGAGCTCGGTGACCCTGGGCAAGTAGCTTAAATGCTTTGTGACTCAGTTTCCCTATCTGGACACTTGGGGTAATAAGGGCAGTTTCTTCAAAGGGCTATTTGAGATGATGAGATACTCTGAAGAGGACCTCACACATATGTGCCCAGCGGTTGGTTGTCACCATGGGTGTCATTACAGGGGGCTCTGGGGCCGGGTGGGAGGTGGGGGAGACACGGGTGGAGCCACACATACCCCTGCATCACCTCTCCAAGCTCCCAAAACAGCTCGCTCCCTGGGATTTCACCACAGAATTTCATCGGGGTCTTTCTGCTTCCTGCCCATGAGACCTGGAGCAGCACAGCTCCCTAGCATGTCCTAGTCTTAAGCAA